TATGGAAAATTTTTTATAGAAATGTTTTAGAAAAATTACATATATATATATACTCATATACACATAAAAATACTTGCATTGGTAAATAAAATTATTAAAATTATTCTTAGTAAAAAATTAAATTATATGATCTAATTTTTAAATTTTTTCAAGCAATCTTCATGAAATAACAACCTCTAATTAAATTTTATCCACATAATAATAATATCTAATCTAATTTATAACTATTTATGTATTTTGATTTAAATAAAATATTCAACTTCTTTCTAAAATATACCAAAAACTATCTCAATTAATTCTAAAAATATCCATTAATATTGATCAATTATGTAGATTTGAATTATTTTAATCAAAGCTTCAAAAAATAGTTTTAATTATATTTCTTCATAAATTTGAAAAATAGGAAATATTACCTTTTTTATGTATTGGTATATTTTTTTTATATATTTTATTTTTTAAAAAAAAGTTCTTAATGAGGATTTCAAGCTCTAAAAATATCAATCAATCAACTTATTAAGAGAGATCCAAGATGTTAATATAATTTGGTGTAATTTTTTTTTTTGAATTATTTTTAATAAAGTGTGGTGTCTATTTCAGTTATGAGTGTTGCATATTCACATAACATATTTATTAATAATTACATGTGGCTCCAAGCATGAAGCTAGATAGTTATTGAATTTGTACATACAACAAATAAGAAGGATAAAATGAGTTGATGGGGTATTCATATGCCTCTCATGCTCCAATTCTAATATATGTATGTATGTATATATACATATATAGTATTAGCCTTCAACATGGTTTTATTTTTAATACATTTTTATTTATAATTATAATAAATTAAATCATTGGTTCATTCATATATATATATATATATATATATATACATATTTACCCACATGGACCATAGAAACTATCGAATATATAATATAGTTAACTTTATAAAGTAGTATAATATAGATGGTGCAAATTGGGACCAGCAAATTAAATTGACTATGATTTAGTGTTGACTTTAACAATGGTTGACTATACTTTATAATCTTTCCATTTCATTATTTTCCTTGATTTTGCATACTTCCTGTCATAAAACATTTTTTGAATATTGTTATCAAAATCAAAATGTTGATTTTATTTCAAATTTCCATGTAAGTTTTTATGTTGCCTCATTGTTAAATGTATTGAAGATTATACATATTTATATTTATATTTAAAAACAGACGCAAAAAGTTTGACCACCACATTCAAATTGCTATTAATTTTTAATTTGTTGACTAGTACAAATATAAATTCGAGATGTAAGTTTAGAATTAAGATCGTGTCCTGATTGTGTGTGTTCCTGATATATTGTTTATAAAATTACTCATTTTCTAAAATTTTGACAATTTTTCTTAATGGTACTAGGTCAAAAAAAAACAAAAAAAAACAAAAACAAAAAAACAAAAAAATATTAAACAAAACTTTCAGAACGCTTGTGTGCACAATAGTTTCATTCATTTTATATTTATATCTATATATATTAACCATAAAGTAAATAAGACCTCCATGTAGTTATTTCAATGGAAGAAACTATGGAATATTCTCTAATCCTGGACCCTACAAAAATGATAGTGATGCAGTAAATGGTGCTCCAGAACTCAACTTTTTGCATGCAACATGGAGGTTGTATTTTCATCAAGTATATTGAAAGTCCAAGTATCTACACATACATAGTACAAACACCCATGCCATTGAGCATACAAATAGTTAATGAAACCAAGACAAAATAAAATAAAATAAAATCCTCACCAATGACAGAAAAATTGGCTTGTCTTCTCTCTTGTTTGAGCCCCCATTTTTTGAATTTCCCTTTTTTTTGTTAATGAAAAAACTTACCCATTTGGAAGCTTGGAATATGGGTGAGGAAACATGTGGGTGGAATCATATGGATAGGCTGATCCACAAGGCCAAGAGCCAAAAACAACAGCAACAACAACATCATCAACAACAACATCAACAACAACACCATCAAATGAGAATTGGCCACACAAATGAAGTGAAGTAACACAAAGAGCAAAGTGGGCCCAATGGGTTAAAGCAATTACTAGACACAACGTGGTTGCATCGAGTCATTCACATGCATCTGCTCATCATGAAAGGATGTGAGTCAGCCAAAATGGCCACCATACATTCTGAGTCACACCTTTAGCTTTTCGGCCTTTTTGGGTCACATTAACAATTATGATTAGTGGTTAAGTACAAGAATTAGCATGAGACCCACACTCTTTTTTATTGACATGGTTTTCTTTGTTGACACACAATTAAGGTTTGTAATTGGAGTTTGTGTTCAAGGTGATTATTGACATTGCACTGAGTGGTCTGTAGATTTTTTGAAATTTGTGACTTGTGTCAATGTAAATTTCAAAAAAGAAAAAAGAAGTAGGAATTGGCTGTAATCAAATGCTTAATTTAATTTTTACTGAATTTTACAAACATGTCTATAAATTACATGACCACATTGGTTAGAGCAAATGTGCCTTCAATCATTAATGCATTTCTTTGTCCCTTAAATCACTATATCTTGCCATGATTTAAAATTGCAGGAGATTCATTTTTTTGATGCATTGATAACACTTTCAGTTTTTAGGAAAGAAAATTGTCAACAAAATTGTAGCAAATTAAATACTTTTTCATGAGTATAAAAACTACATTAACAACATGCATTCTTTTATCAATCTTATTGTTGTTATATTGAATGCATATGTGATTTTGTATTTATTTTTTTGAACTTACAAACGAATTATCTCTTTCCAAAATACTAATTTCGTACAGTTTTATAAACAAATTTCGTAGGCAATCTTCTATCCTTGAAAGTATGGATGAACAAACACATTATGAAAGGCAAAAAGTTGTAAAAAACCATTTAATTTCATTTTTAATGTGAATCTCAAATTTAGAAGTCCCTGATGTAAAGATTATTCAACAGGTACTACTAATATTCTTAATATTTTATTTTATTTTGTTATTTTGTTTTTATTACAGTACATTTGATTGCAACCACTTTTCTTATAATGAATATAATCAGACAAGCACAGGTAAACACTCTCATATTAGAAAATATTGTTAAAAAAACATTTATGTAAAACAAAAGTACATGTTGGGCTAGTAGAATATGTAATGTGGAGATTCTATGCACAATACTTAAAAGACAGCAATGCTGTAAATCTTCTACATCAAATATATTACATATTTAATTGGCAATGACACACTAAACTATTATGTTCACATTGTTAGTATAATGGTTAAAAACTTGAGGTATGAAGTTCAAGTATGCTAGAATGTTGTCAGTCAATGCAGTACATGTTTGACCAGTTGGTATGAAAAATTGAGCACAATAAAAGACTGATATTCAAAATACATTTGTGTCAAAGAACAGGATTGTCTCTGTGGTGAGTATTTACAGTTGGGTTTTATTTTCTCAGCTATTTTGAGAAATAAATTGCAAAATACATAATAAAATACTTTGAAATTGATTCGCAATGACAAAAACCAATGGCATTGTGTCATAGGTCATAAAGTTGTAACATTGTTTAGTATTTTACTGTAAATGTATTCATCTTTAAATTAACTACAACATATCTTCATCATAATCATTGCCTGTGCAACCACATCCAATACCTTCAAAGGTTTATGTATGTCCAAAACATTATTTGTAGAATCACCCAATCTATTTCTTCTGTGTCCACATTTGTCTTTTGGGTAGATCACAGAGTTTATATATTCAATAAGCAAACTACAAGACACCAAACTACATATTCTCATGTTTAGTTTTTAATATGCTTACATGAAAGTTGATTTTTTCGTGGGCTACAATCTAACACAAATTAATTGTGCAATCATTTGTCATTTCTGAAAATTTCAAACAAAATTCAGATTTTGTCATTGTAAATCCGTTTTGAATTTCTATTTAACTTAAAATTTATTTGAAGTTTAGAAATTCTCTATTATATATAAGAGATAAGGGGCAAACATTTTTAAATAAAGAAATTAAGTTTTAGAGAAACATAATAATTCTACTATTTCAAAAATATACAATCACATATTGATATATTGTTGCAATAAAAAATATATAAATATAAATCAGTCAACATTGCAATAGATAATAATATTTATTTTTATTTAAATATATAATAATTCAAAAATTTCACCACAAAAATTATTGTTTTATATATAAATATGTATGTATAGAATGTTTATTATTGCAATTTGTTTACAACCATACTAGATAATTGTGCGTCATTTTAGCAATCATTTATGCCACCAAAAAGAATAAAGCAAGACATTTTTTTCTGAAAATATTGAATAAAAAATTTAACTTTAAATATTTGGAGCTAATCATTTTTTATTGTATTTAATATATATATTACATTTAAATATTAATTACATATTTTTATTTTGAAATATTATTCAGTATGTTACAAATTTTAATTACAATGTAAATACTTAATGCTACTTTAGTGTGTATATTGCTTACATGTATTGTTTATATAAATTTATCTTATATTTTTTTTTACGTTCTCAATTTCTAATATTTTTCATAACATATGTGAAATACAATAATAATTTTAACAGTTCCATTAATATGACTATTACTATTTTAGCTTAACTGATTTCATATTTATCACAATAAAGTTAAGATTTTAGGCTAACTTTAAAAATACACCCTTTTCAATAGTAACATTGTTATTATTATTGGGAATGCGTGGGGTACTTTAATCCCCATTCAAGAACCCCACGCATTCCCCTGAATTGAATTAGACAATTTGAGGGAGGGGGGGAGCAGCGAGAGACCCAAAGCCACGGCCAAAGACACGGTTGAACAGCGGGTGAGGGCGGAGAAATCCAATCCACAAAGCGGAGCGGGGCACAGGGATGGGTGTGACACGGGTATGGGACCGCAGCGGGTATGGGTAGGATCGGAGGGATGAGGTCCCCCACACGTCCCCATCGCGGGCCAGTCTAGCCAGGGGTAGCCCGGGCCGACCATGGCCGCAGGGCTAAACGAGCCGGTGCTGCCGACCGGGCCGCCCGTCCGTCCGTCCGTCTGCGTGCTCCAGCTCCAGTTGCTTGCTTGCTGGTGTCTGGCATTCGCTCGCTCTCTCTCTCGCACAGTTCACTAGGGAGGTTCCGTGAATCCTCACAGCTTCTGCTGCTGCTGCTGCTGCTGCTGGGTCTGTGTGTGTGTGTGGATCTGCTGTCACTGCCATTCTCTCTCACTTCCTTCTTCCTCAGTCTGTCTCGCCCGATTGGTAAGCCTCTGGATCTGCGTTGTGTGGGTTCGCTCTATCGTCTTCCGTCTCTGTCTCCTCCACGTCGCCTCCATTGGTTCTGGCCCTTGAGCATCTTGGGGTGTCGCGGCGTCGTCTGCATCGTCTCATCCTCCCCCCCCCCCCCACTTGCGAGGGGGCTTGTATCAGTTCTTGCTCGCGGCGTGTGCTCCGCTCTGATCCCAGGATTGCCGTTGTGTGAAGGTGTGTTGAATGTTGCGAGGTAGTGGACTTATAGTTGCGCGTTGAGAGAATGCTGAGGGCCGTGATTGGGGTTGTCTGGCAGTGTTTGCGAATGTGGTGCCGTTCTGTTCGCTGGAGTTTCGCTGTTTGAGGGTGGGTTGTTTTGGTTCTTGATGTGAAAGAGTGGGTTTTCTGAGGTTTATCTTTAGTGATGTCAGTCGTTCTTATTTTATTCTCTTTTTTTGGAGTTATCCCTGTGTTTTTGTCCGAGAGAACGAGTTGTCGCACTTGTAACGGCGACTGCTATAGATTCGGGTACCGGCTCTCGTTACCTTGATGGTAATGTGTTGAGAGTCGAACTAGTGCATTTGAATACAAAATATGCATAGCTCTGCTTCAGGTCACGGGATATGCTCACCGTTTGAATAACGCCCGCTTGCAGCTGTGAAACGTGCTGAATCACGAGGTTTAGGAGAAAGATAATGTTGGAAGAGTTTCATTGATGTCTTTGGTTCGCGTCAGTCTTCATTGTCGGAGGTTTCTCTTTGTTTTAACGTTTGCGGCCTCTGGTATCTCTCTACTTACATGCTTTTACGAAATTTGAGGAAATTTTGGAAGTTGGCATATTGAATCCATATGGGCAAATCAGCTACTTTAGGAGTTCGAAATTGCTGCAATGATCTATTTTGTTGAGACAACCCGCTGTTTCGTGGTCCACATTCAGTGTAGGGAAGGGCTCACTAGTCGTAACATCCTAGGACAACATTCAGAGGGAACAGTGCCATATAGGCATAGTATGCCAAGAATCTATTTCCCTGGATTTACGATAATTGTTTGACTCTGTCTCGAATATTACTTTAGATTCTTGAATTACGCTTGTGTCGAATTTCGAATACTGATTCCAATTTCTTGCAGGTCGATGAATTTTTAGGTGAAAAGAATTAGCTCTCTTGGAGTTGGTCAAGATGGCCGCTGTGGTGATGGATTTGTCGACGGCAAGAGGCGTCCGATGTACCGCCTCGAGCCACAGTCTAAGCAGTGCCCGAACCTGTTCAACAAGTTCTTCCTTGCCTTCTGGTTTTAAGAGCCAGATGCTCAGCGTGAATTTAAACGTAGTCAGGCGAGCAGGAAAGACGGGCCGCTTGGAAGTAGTTATGACAGCAACCCTTCCACCGAAAACACAGTGAGTGGTGCAGAATATTCATAATTTCCTTTATTCTGAAAATACGAAGGGCACCTCTTGTCAGTTTGGTACGAATTTTAGTTTTGTTCATTTGGATACGAACTGTACTGCAATGATGCGCGTATGTACGGATCAATTCCGTTGCGAAGCGAGTAAACAATTGTATTTGGTAGCTGCATGGGAGAGCAAGGCTAAGGATGTCCGCACTTGTCAAATCCGTGTGGATACGGCTTTGTGACCAATTGTTACCTGTAGGTCAGGTCAATGATCTCGTACTGTGGATGGGCATATAAAAATACCTCTTCATTAACATTACTTTGTTGATCACAGGGGTTCACCTGTAAGTAAACGACCAACGGAGACACATTCCAAAGTAATGCACTCTATATCTCCAGAGAAGTTGGAAATGTTCAAATCCCTCGAAGGCTGGGCCTCCAAGACTCTTCTACCTTATTTAAAGCCCGTGGAGAAGTGCTGGCAACCACAGGACTTTCTCCCAGAGCCCTCTTCTGAAGACTTCTTGGACCAAGTGAAGGAGCTTCGGGAGAGAGCCGCATGCTTACCCGATGACTATTTGGTGTGTTTGGTCGGTGATATGATCACTGAGGAGGCTCTGCCTACGTATCAAACTATGCTGAACACACTAGATGGGAGTCGGGATGAGACGGGTGCCAGTCCCACCCCTTGGGGTGTATGGACTCGTGCCTGGACTGCAGAAGAAAATCGTCACGGAGATCTTTTAAATAAATATTTGTACTTGACTGGCCGGGTGGATATGAAAAGCGTTGAAAAAACTATCCAGTATCTAATTGGATCTGGCATGGTAGGAACTCCATTTACCTCCGAAAAGACTTTATGAACTTAATGGCAATGATGGGTACTAGGGTCGGAGGGCTGGCGCTGGAGTAAGAGTTGCACCATTTGGATTCTAGTGTTTGCAACTGTTACAAATGTTGTGTATGTTTATTGACCGTGATTTTTGTGTTTTCACAGGACCCTCAGACAGAAAATAATCCATACTTGGGTTTCGTCTACACCTCGTTTCAGGAAAGGGCTACTTTTATTTCACATGGTAATACGGCACGGCACGCCAAGGAACATGGTGATGCGAAGCTCGCAACGATTTGCGGCATCATCGCTGCCGATGAAAGAAGGCATGAGAATGCATATACCAAGATCGTTGAGAAGCTATTTGAAATCGACCCGGATGGTGCTATGCTTGCCTTCGCTGATATGATGAAGAAGAAAATTTCCATGCCAGCACATCTTATGTACGATGGCCAAAACAACCATCTTTTCGATGATTTCTCACTTGTCGCCCAAAGAACAGGCGTGTACACCGCCCGAGATTACGCCGACATCATGGAGCACTTGGTGAAGAGGTGGAATGTCCCTAGTATTACAGGTCTCTCGGAAAAAGCGTTAGCTGCACAGCAGTACGTGTGCGGACTGCCTCCACGTATAAGAAGGCTTGATGAACGTGCCCAAGCGAAAGTGAAGAAGGGTCCTAAGAGAGGAAGCTTCAGCTGGATCTTTAATAGAGAAGTTGCGCTGTTGTAGATGCCATCACTTTTGTACAGATCATGGTTTGATGGCAAAGAACAACCTGCGGTGTGTACTAGATTGTGTACTCGTCCGAACATTGCATTTGGTGTGCATTCTGTGCGTGGCCTTCTTTTTCTCTAATTTTTTGAGCGTAGGGGAACGGTTCGAGACTCTGTATTTCAGTTGTCGAGACACTGTTGAAGCGGTTTGTGATTCCTTCCTACTGGACGGAAGCGTCACGTTCGAAAAGTTTCTGGTTTTGGTTGATGATTATCATCACATCTTTTTGTGGCCGCAATCGGAATGCGACTTTCAATTCTTACCTCAGACACACGAAACCCTTTGAATGACTCGACCTGTGTGAAGTTAGTTCGTCACCGACACGAACTTTATCCATGTGGTTGCGATTCCTTTTTGAAGCGTCAATGCCTTTTGAAATACCCGTCTGGAACTTTCAAAATCACACACCTTCATTGTCTGAAATTCTTTATTTTATCAAAGCACCATTTGGTTCTCTGATTTTGGTCAGACCGGGGTGTAGGATATTCGTTTGAGAATGTCTCATGGAAAGCATTTTACGGCAGTCTTTGTAAATAGATATAAAACAAAAACACTACTTGCATTATGCAGAAATCTGCAGAAGGTTTTGATGTATCCATTCTAAAATTGTCCTGATCGAGCTGCTTTAGGTTCTTAATTTTGGATTGTGAATCTTTAATTGATGGAATGTGCTCATTAATGAATTGCAGAACACTTGTCTAATCAAAAAAATAATCAAATCTTGAAATTTCAACTATAGTCAACAAAAGTTCAAATTTCCATGTAAAGTCTTCAAATATCAAATGATTCTTACATCTACATTGAAGAAAAGTTGTTAGAACTATTGTATACATGTTTTTTTTTGTCTTTTTAGAAAATAATAGTTATAATAACCACTTTAACTACTATCTCAAATCTATATTAAAGAAGTTTAGTCATAAGACAAAGATGTAAAGAAGCTTTTTCATTGGCCAATTTTTTTTAAAAAAGTGTTAACTAGCATAAAGCCATGCATAACATGTAGAAAGACCTTTAGTTTACTATGCATTTAGTATATAGTATTATATATATACTAGTGAAAACATGTGCAAAATTGGCCATAGAAAATATGCAAAATATGCCATGTTGTGCTATTTGGCTTTTGTAATATCTACAATACCTATCTCTATCACTTTGCTCTTGAAGATTGGCTCCACCATCTCTCCTAACTTATTGTCGAAGCAACAAAAAATTGTTCACCTATTCTAGAGTTGAATTTGCCCTCACTTAGAATCCCTTTAATCTGCAGAAGAAAAAGATGAGAATACATAGATGTACCTAAGCACGTCAACAAGAGCATTCAAAGCAAGTTAAGTATTAGATTAACAGACCTTGGAGGCACATAGGCAAATGTCGCAATTGATCCATCTACACCCCCTCCTCCAAAAATCACCATAGCTAGATCCCATCTTGTTGTCACAACTGCCTTCAAATTTCCACAATACCAATTTTGCTATTCTCTCACAATTCTATTTTACCAAACAATCCATCTAAATGTATATTGCTAAGCTCACATTCTTCAATGACAATCTCCCCACTTCTTCTCTTTGGATTTTCAATGCAACTCTTTTCTCAAACTGATACAAAATCCCATTTGGAATGCCTCACAAAAATAAATCTTTTAACTTAAGTGAAATTACAAGCTTCTTCTTACAATAATTGCATTTCACTCAACATAGTTGCATATTCAACCATTGTATTCAGATGATTTGTCCAATCTTCTTCATATGTGATTCAACTTGAATTTGAAAGGTTCCTCAGACTACTTGCTTCTCTCCATTGTGGCATCAAGAATTCTTCCAAACACATCGAAGATATGAATGAGTTATATTGGAGAGTTTTGCCACCATTGACAATCCATCATCATTTGTTTTTGTCCTTGACCCTCCTCCCAATTAGCATTTATACATCAAAATGTTACATCCTCATAAGTGAAAGTATGGTATCCTATTGTATTAGCTTGTTTTTTCAATTGTTTCATCAAAATGAACACTTTGGATCATTGATCTTAATGATCACCTATAGTCGTAATCAGTATAAAGGATTGCATTTCATTAAGTATTTGATTATTATCCTATTGGCAATTAAAGTTCATACAATGATTTTATGTGTAAATGACTATAGACGGCTTTGAATGTTTGTACAATAGTATAGCAAGTTATGCACAAGTATTTTGTGTGGCAAATCCACTCCTTGCAACTTATAGCATTATGTTATAATTTTGGTAGACTACTTACATCTCATTTGTGTTTGTTTGCAATGAAGATGTGGTTTAGTCATTGAAGTATGGAAGTAAAATGAGTCTCAATTCATTCTAGTAATTTTTTTGTAAGTACTTTTGATCCACTACTTAAAAGTTTTTAGTATGAGTTGTGCATTATCTTGCATTATCTTGCTATTGACTTCACCTTCTCCCTTGACTCGGTCACCACATGGCTAATAATTCCTTGTACAAAAATCCAACTCCTCACAAAATCCAATGCCCATCGCCCCTTCTTTCATTACAAATTGATCATGGATATAATGATTTAATTATATCATCAATCATACAAAGAAGTCTTCTATTTTATAGCTTGAAATTACTGCAAAATACTCATACTTTGTAACAATTTTATATCTATGTCCTGTTATTTTAATTAATTTTCTTCAAGGTCAAAGTAATCTACTTACACAAAGTAGTTGTAAATCTATTAAACTTGACAAAAATGAGGGATGCTATTTAATAATGCAGATATAGGTCGTAGACAATGCAAAGAAATAATAGTAATAATGATTATAGTTTTTAGCAAAAATGGGCCGAAACTTGTATTGTTCATTAAAAGATATAATAAGATTAATGCTTTGATTTTTTGTGACTAACATTTGTTATGCTTTTGCTCAAGATTCCATTTGATATAAAATTCTCTTTGGAATGCAAATATTTCTCTTATACTGGTTGAATCTACAAAAATAAAATGAAAGTTAAATATTATTACATAAAAATATTAATAGTGTATTATAGACTTATTAAAATATATAATTTTATTAAGAAATATATTATTATTACTTTAAATAAAAATATATAAAAAATTAAATTATTGAAAAAGTTGTTGACTAATTTGACATACAATATAGTCCAAATTTATTGTCGTACCAAAATCTTCTGATAATATTTCAAAGCTTTTATTCTTTTTAACAACAATTTTTTTCTAAAAAGAATATAGTGCCACCTTTATTAATGAATCTTTTTACATTTTCAAATTAAATATTTGATACAATATATATATATATATATATATATTTTTTTTTAAAATATTTATTATATCATCACATTTTAAATTTAGATTTGAAAAGCAGCAATCCCAATCAAATTGCGTGTGCAACAGCAAAGGCTCATGTCATCGCTGTAGTATCAAGGTTTTTATATGAAGAATAATCTCCATTAATCTCTTCATGCTAATCACACTAGCGAGCCTTCTCTGCTTGAGATGCAACATGCATTTGTATTCTATATATGATGCACGCTCTATACATCAAGAAAAACATAGTTAAAGTAAGCAATTTTGGACATGTAGAAAGCTATAAAAATAAAGAAAAAAAAAAGTAAATTAAAAATCAAAAAATTCTCACGCATCATTAGCTCAATATTGTATGAATGATTCATGTGAACAATGCATCAACTACAAACAAAAAAAAAAACTCAAACATTTCAATATCTACAATCTGTGATAAAATAACTCATCACTTTATAACATTCTCTCATGACCCGCCAAAATCAACTCAACAAATCTAACTTCAAGCTTCCATTGGCAATCCATCTTGTATATATCTAGAAGCCCAAACTACCAATCTTCTACCGACGATGCTCTGTCACAGACAAATGCTCTTCCAACCCAATATAAATGTATGTAGCAGCTCATTAGTGTTGTGGGTGAAGAAGCAATTAGGATCTCAAGAACCGAATTCTCGGAAATACACATAATCCTAATCACTTTGCATTCCCCAAGTTGTCAAAATTTCCTCTCAACAATCTATCATAATTAATTTTTGTTTCTTTAACTTATACCTATGCTACCTTATATTAAATATGTATGTATATATATATATATATATATATATGTATCTATCTACATTTATATTCATATGATTTATAATTGGCAATCACTTTATATATTGATTTTTTTATTCTTTTAAGGATATGCTAAAAATCATAAGTTCTCATAAAAGTTAGGAACGAAAAATAAAAAATAAAAAAGAATTAAAATCTAAAAAATAATATGATTTAAAATACTAATTTGAACTAAATAAATAAATATTCTCTTTCTATATATATTTGGTTAAAAATAGTAGAGAAGAAAAATATCAAAAATAAATTTAAAGAATATCTAACAAGAAAAAGATGGATTGGTAACAAAAATGTGGCTATTCACAATTTTATTTAGTATTAAGGAAAAATAAAAATAAAACATAACATTCTTTTAAAATAATATTATGAGAATATAATTTTTTTTGTTTTTATAAAAAAATGAACTAAGATTTTTTTTATTTTTTTATTTTTAATTTTTTATTAATTGACTATTGCATAGTATGGCATAGTAGAAACAAGAATTGCAATATGTATTAGTATTTGTCAGTGCTTTAGGACCCTTGCTTTTCAATGAGGAAAAAAAATAAAAATACAACTCAACATAATTAAATAAACGAAAAGGAAAGAAAGAAAGAAAGAAAGAAAGAAAACAAGTTGAGTTTGCACAATGGAGAAGTGGATTGTTATCCTTGTTTTTACAGACCTGGGAGACCATGCAAAATGGCTCACATGAGACCAATCCAACGAGAAATTCCACCATGGCTTGGTCGGGACGACGACGACGGCGAGGTTTCGTCTCGCAACGGACGTGTACAGCTCGGCCATGGCGCCACGCGAACCGCCCCAAACGAGCCGCTGACGCGGGGGCGCGTCAGAGCCGTAAGTTGCAGCCACGGTCAGACAACGCAACTCATCCAAATTGGACCAGATGAGTTCAAATCTTGCGATATCTACGGCCAGATCTGAAAACTGGGTCGCTTCTTCATCCAGAGCTGAACGACAGTTGGGATCTTTTTGGGGTGGGGTTGTTAGTGCGACCGGTGGTCGGCGGCCAAGGCGGGAGCTGAGTACCGAGTGCCCGTGTTCAGTCGCCATTCTCGCAGGCCGGCTCGGATCATCACCAAGCAATAATTTTGGTTCCTGCATCGGTGCTTCTCCGACTGAGTCTGGTTGACATTGGGGGTGTCAATCACTCCTCTCAGCTCTGATCCTTGCCTACTTCGCGATCGTCTGCCTCTTCAGCTCCTCTTGTGTTCGATTTCGTGGCTTTGCTGCCTCTCTGCCTCTGATTTGCTTCATATTTGGTTCCGTTTCGGAGGTATGTAGTTTTGTAGGTTTGAATGGTTTTGTAGAAATTCCTATGTGTTTTCTGAGACATGTTTGCAGTTGCGGGGAACTGTTGGTCCCTTTTTTTTTCTTTGAAAATGTAAGTCCAGGTTGGATGTCGATTTTGTTTTGGTCGGTAAGTGTTTAGATTGAGGATTCCTCGTTGTGGTGTTGTCTTCATGGGTGGTTTATTGATTTTGTGATGGAGTTTGTGCTTGTGTTTGTGTGAGTTGTATCGATCGTTTCTGTGGATCTGGTTGGTGGATTATGGATCGGAGGTAACAGAGGATCTCTGCGTTTTGGTGGTTTTGGTGGGATATGACGCAAAGGGTGTCTTTGCGTGGCATTTGTGAGTGTAATGACAAGGTTGGTGAATAGTGGTGATGGATTGACGGAGATTGGTCTTGGGCGCAGATTAGCAGTGTGCAATCATGAAGCGTGGGGACCATTTGCAGCAGGCAGCGGCTCCGTTGAACAACTATCAATTCGACTTTGGTCTGCCGGGTATGCCCAAGCCGAGCGGGAGCCTGAAAGATCAGAGAGCGCAAACGCTGAATTCCGGGGCGCAGGTGTTCGGAGGTTGGTCCGCCTCTCCGGCAGGCAGGGCTTCGAACGGGTCGGGGCCAGACGGAGCATTTGATTTCGCGGGTAGATCTTATGCTGGAGGTAGCTCTAACCCTAACGCGAATGGGCAAGCAAGGCCTCAGACCGGAGGTAGTGCGTCGACTACACATGATTTTTTAGGGGTGCCCAGTTCGGTGGGAGGAGTTAATGGTGGTTACTACGGCAGCGCGAGGCCGCAGGTAGGTAACGCGGGCGGTGTGAATAGTTTCTCGCACCAAACAGCGTCGAATACAAATAAAGGGGGAGTGGATCTATCAGGGAAGGTTTGGGCCCAGTCTACCGCGTCCAAGCTAGCATCGGCAGGTATCCCGGGGTACAAACCGTCTAGTAAAGAGGATGTTTTTGGGGACTTGCTGGGTGGTGCGTTAGGAGGGAAGTCATCGACTCCATTGAAGCAGCAGCAGCAACAACATTTGGCAGCGACGGGTGGAGGGTTCGGGATGAGCAACTTGCAAGCGGCGATGCCGGAAGTAGCGAAAGCTCCGGTGCGAGATGCGAAGCCTGCACAAGCGAAACCCGCACCATTTTCATACACTGCTATGTTTAAGAGCTCGACACCTTCCGCCCAGAAGACCGCGCCCAAGCCCAAGCCCATGGCGAATGCTGGAGGTGGAGATTCATTTTCCGGCTTGTCGTTCTCGAAACCCCAAGCAAGTGCAATGTCGAGCGATCCATTCAATTTCGTAAGCAAGCAGCAAAACATCCCTCCTCCTGCCCAGTCGGTCAAGGCTCCGATCTCTGATCCATTCGCCGGGTCTGCGGGAGGTGATCAGTTCGATTCAATTTTCGGCAGCGGTATGTCCAGTTCTCGTTCAGCCGGTGCTAAGCCTGCACAGGCGCACGATGGTTGGGGTGAGGCATTTGGAGCGGCTGCAGAGAGTCATTCGTTCGAGAACGAAGCCGCGACGACAGAGCTAGAAGGTGTGGGTGCTGCGCCACCGGGGCTGGCAGGAAATTCGGCGTTTGAGAAGGGTAGCACTTTCTATAAGGAAGGGCAATTCCCGGATGCCATTAAGTGGTTCTCATGGGCGGTTGAGCTGTTGGAGAAGGAAAAGGGAAAGAAAGACACTATCATACATGTGCTAACCAAGAGAATGTCGTGCTTCAAGGAGATTGGAGAAATGAAGAAGGCAATTGCAGACGGCACCAAGGTATGGGTACGCTTGTCCAGTCGGCATGTGTATATTCACGTTCGTGGTAGGGCGATGCTGACTCGACGTGTTCTTCAGTAACTGGGGTGCTTGCATAAGTAGTTTGTGAGATAGGCATGGTATTTTTCGTTGAGTCGGTAAATGTGGCTGTTTCTTTCACCCGGATTATAGTGATTGATGACAGTTGAATATATATATATATATATATATATAAAGAAAAAGCTTGTGGTCTGCAATAGCACATGTGCGATTTTTTGTATGTTTACAAGTTGCTGACGTTGGTTTCCACAATGGCGTGTTATGCAGGCATGCGACATGGAGCCAGGCAATGTAGAGCTTCTGATGCAGCGAGCTCACCTGTATGAGAGCTGTGAGAAAATCAAACTTGGAATCTCAGACTTGCGAGAAGTGTTAAAGATCCAACCAGGACACCGTGTGGCATCTCAGACACTCGCAAGACTTCAGAAGATGCTTTAAACTGGCCCTGCTCCCTTCTTGAGGCTTCGTCTTGATCCATGATGAACATCCATCGAGTAAAGCCCAACTTTTAGCTTCACGGTTTATAGATAGAATTTTCGCCTAGTGGGAAAATCTTATAGCACTAATTTTTTACAGAGTAATTTATTGCAGGTACGTATTGCTGCAATAATGTGTCGTACTTCAATGATACGTGGTAATAGGGTAAGGGATCTTTTCGGATCGAAACATGCAAACTGTAAATTAGTACCATTTGTTTGTGTTTGTCACGAACATCTCGGTTGTAGGAACTTGGACGCGGTTGGGGAATTGAAAAGCCATGATTACATTCTTTTGTACTCACATAATGCTGATTCTTTCATCACAATATGACATTTCTTTTCTTTGATTCTGAGTTACATTCAGGTTGTGCCCTGCTCAAGAACGCTGACTTGCACAGGTGCCGAAAGGGCTTAGCATTAAATCGAGACACTGGAATGTTCTCATACAGCTAACCACTTGTTTGAATGAAACGTTTTGATACCCAACCCGCATGGATTGTATATTTGAAGACAATTAACGTCGCAAAATCTCATCCGGAATTGCTATGCTGGAAAAATTCAGTTGTGATAAAGCACAAATTGGTGTGTACTCAGACTTTGTGATGGGGCATGTATGTCACAACTGAGATATTCTGCAATAACCCTCATCTAAAAATCTCCTCGAATCTACAATATAAAATAGCCCAGAAGACAATGCAGTAACAACATTTTTCATTATTCAAGTAGCTAAGAATACACAGTCTACGACTGAAAGCTAGCATGCTCTGCAGCGCATCGATGATATTATGTGAAATAAATCTATAACTGTTTGCCGACAATAAGTACAGTACCATTATATATCCAATTACACAAGGCCTTGAAAACCTAACTTAGAAAAAGCTGTGATTTGCCATCTGTGATCCCCCAAAAATCATGAACACCAATGCCTGCAATACCACAGGGCAAGTATCATTCAGCAAACCCACTTAACTTCTGCAGAATACTTCCCAGATAAACCTTCATCATTCTGTCTCTACTGTAAGTAATGCACACGATGATATCCAGACCTGCTGCACTAGTTGAAAGCTTTTCGATCTGGCTGGGTCGCTCGCTCGATATTACTTCTTTCTAACTAAATCTTCACTAAAATGAAAGAAATTTAGAATTACAGGATGCTTAATTGCACAATTCAAGACAATTTCATGCCATGGGGTAAGACGAGTACCGCTACGACGCAAGCCGTCAGTCCCGTCTTCTCTCTGTAGTCATAGCTAAGACAGAAGAAAATAAAGGCTCCAACATACCAAGGTACTGAGACTATGAAAAACCCCAGAATAAACCTGAAAGCAATATTCGTCTATTAGATGAGAATAATGAGAGAATAACACAACATAGAAGAAGTACAGCCACTCCACCTCCACCTCCACCTCCACGTATGTCAAGACACATAAAAATTACAGAAAAGCTTACTATCATGAACAGGGTGGACACCGCCAACTAGAAGGACAGCGCAACGCTGTGCCTACAAAAGAATAAAAAATCATAAACGAGCAAAACTCCTTCAATTTAAATAGATAAGCAGCTAGCAAGGGTTGGATCCTTACAGAAACCATCCAAATCCGAGACCACAGAAAGGCAACTCATCCGAGTCGTAAGTTCGTCGGTGAGGATTATTTTCCACTGATGAATCTACCGGATATCCTGTAAAACCAATATGAGATACAACGATCAGCAAATCCAGCTGAAATGTCACCTCAAGCAACCCCATCCAATTAATCCTCTCCTACAAACCACCCAAGAAATAGAACACCGTTTTTTCTGTACACCGCTGTCTCTCTGTCCTCTTTGTACTCCTCAAAACTGCAGAAACTAGGGTTCTGGCCCGAGATCTATTCAAGTAACATGAGCTGCCATGTTCACTAACAATTAATCTATCTCTCATACCACCCTCCACCTCGGAACAGCAACAGAAGCAGAAGCCAAACTCCGCAGCCTCCAACACCTCGCGAATCTAAACCCAATCAAACCCTCAAAAACACGCAACTGCGACAACAATCACAACTCACAATTCAAACACAAAGCATGAGCAGAACTTCACGCACCTGGGACAGACGGATTGTAACCACCCTGGTTGTAGTAAGGAGCTTGACTGGGCGGCACAGGCTGCGGCATGCCATGCTGGTTTTGAAATGTCCCATAGTAACCCTCATTCCCTTGCTGCGTCATCACTAAAAACTTGCCAGACGGGCACAATCCCTCCCCTCTCTCTCTCTCGCTCTCCTTCTCGGCTCACGGAGTTTTCCGGTCGTTTAAACCCCAAACCCTTGCTTCCCACCACAACGAAGTGGTAACCCAACGCGAGACCAACTGTGAAGGTGAAGACTCGTGACAGATCCTTGACAAGAGACTCCGCAATTATGAACAAAGTGAACACAGCTCGAAGGGGAAGCGGCGTGGCTCTGGACGCAAACGTGGGTTTCTCCGAATATCTTCACTTCTCGAAGATTGATAAAATCGTAGATTCTACCGAGATCTAGTGGCCGCCAATTCCATGCTTCCAGCTGGATCTTACCCTTGGATGAATGAAACTGGGTGACGAAGCTCGCGGCGTTTGAAGCTCGATGAGGTGGGTTCATCCATACCCACTGAACTAAATGTGCGGTTGTCCCCCCAGAATTAATCCCCCGAAAATTATGGCCCCTGATAATTAATCAAAATTTTGTGATTTTTTTTTCTTGTAATTAAAAATCTCCAAAAATTTATAATTTTTCCTGCAGTGGATAATTATATTTATAAGTAATAATTATTGGATTAAAAATCCAAATATAAAGTTGATGGGATTTCAAGTAAATATTTATTTATTTATTAATTATTTATGGTTAGGTGAATTAAGAGTTTTCAAATGCTTGAGTCATTGGCAATTTCTCAATGAATCAAATAATTATATTTTTCATATTCATGATTGAAGCATTTTTAGTCTTAAAAATGATCCACCTTATTTGTTTACTTGAATCCATTAATAAGAGTAAAATTTCATGTTGTAAATTTTTATCTTTGTTTTACTTTATAAATTAGAGTGCACTCATAGCTAAACTTCAAGTGATGAAAATTGATGTTGATTATAAAATAATCATAGTATATATTATAGAGTACACATAGAGGATTCAATTGACTCTCAAGGATTTTGATGGAATCATTGAAAATTGGAGCCTAAATATAATCTTACAAGTCTCAACTAAACACAAGATTTGACAATCTCTAATCAGTTTTTATTAAGTCGAGAGAAATCTCAACAAGTCTTCATATCCAAGGAATTCTTTTGGAAGGTGATGTCTTCATATCATTGCATCATGAAAAGATGACTTAAACAAGTTTGAAATAACTTATGAATGCTTATAATAAAACATCATGGATCTTTATTTTTATTTTTGTTAAAAAAATCATGAAAAATCAAGTATAAAATCTTTTGATATATAAATATATTTTTATAAATAGATTTTTTTCTCACTTGTCAATATTATTTGTTGTAAAAAAAAGTATTAATTACGAAAATAACAAAGAACATTAAATATTTAGATTTTAGTTGGAATATGTTTCCAAAATTTTAATTAATTATTAAAAGTTGTTTAAGTTTTGAAAAATTGGTTATTGGAGGACAACTATATACACATTTATATAAACATGTGAATTCTTTTTGGAATGAATATATAAAATAAGAGGATTTTTTTATGCTTGAGCAATAGAACTTTGTGAAATTTGGTGAGGAAGAAAGACACCGAGGAAGTCAATAGCTACATTCATTTAGCAACATTGCAGACTTAGCCATTGTCCCACCTCAGTGTAGTTTTTGTTACATCTTTCTAATGGTTCTAACTTGCGCTATAATTATTATTGAAGATATGACTTTATTCTAGTATATTCAAAGAGTGGTAGTGAATAACAATCAAAGATATGTGATAGGATTAAGATTAGAATTAAGATTTGGATTGAATTATGAAAAAGTCATCGATAATTATGCCAATGTAGTTTGAATTGTACTAGAAACAAACAAAAATGTAGCAAGGGGTGGTAACTACAACCTCTATAATAAAAAAATATATGATTGATGTATACTTTTTGAACTTGATATTATCTTTCTAAGAACAAGGAAGTAAAATAGAAATCAATCCAACTAAATCCAAAGAAGGTAAATCTCTTCTATATGGGTATGCAAGGAACTATGTAGGGTTCTTCATTAAAATACAATGCAAACAAATACATGTTTTAAAAGATATAATTATAACAAAAGAGCAATACATGCGTAAATACATTGTCATAGTTTGCTTCATTAGTGACAAAATTAGTCAAACTTCATTCATATTTTGGTTGAATAAAATTAATACCAAATTGTCTAATGGTGGTATCATCTCAAGTAACAAGATAGATCAAGAATTTTTTTGCTTAAGCACTCCAACCTTAGAAGTTTGTGAAGCTAAGGTGCCATTTTTTCCAAGTATGAGATACCTTTTTATGAAAACATGTCTTACAATCCTCCATCTAATTTTCAAATACACCATCCAATAGACAACCATCTCATAGGCTTATCTTGATCTATATTACAAATAATAGAATTTAAGCAAGATATATACATCTCCCCTTTTCTTCCTTCTCTCCCTCCTTCTTAATTTTGGCCCATCAATTGAATTCCTTACTATTATGTATTGACTTCAACATCAATATTGTTATAACAAAGGACAATCAAGACCTCTCAAAATACGATTTGGATTGATAAGTTTAAAGGCAATTCAAATTGTACTCTCTTTGTCCAACTACTATTATTTTTTGTGAAGTATGCTTGAGATTATATTAGGTACTTAGTTGTAGAAGGTAGAATGGAAATTACAACACTAATGTTTTAACAACTCTAATAAAATCTTAAACAAATTTCAATTAAATCTTAATAATTCTAATCAAATTTTAATTAAATTTAAAAGAAATATTAAATAAATTATAAAAATATTATAAAAAAATAATAAATTAATTTTAAAATAAATAATATAATTAAAAAATCTAAAATATATCAAAAAATCTTTCAAAAATATTAATAATAATAACTCTAAATAAATCATAATCAAATTCTAATATAATCATAAAAAATCTTAATAAAATTTTAAATCAATTCTAATCAAATCTTAAATTCTATACTAAATCCTATTCAAATTCTAAACAAATCCTAAATCAAATCCTAAATCCTAAATCATATTCTTTTCAAATTCTAATCCCTAAATCCTAAATTAAATCCTAAAAAAATCTTAACCATAAATCACAACTTAATTAAATCTTAAAACAAACACTATTCAAATTTTAATCAAACCTCAAAATAAATCTTAATTTTTAATTCCATAAATAGATCTTAATTGATGGAACAATTAAAAATAAAGGTTTTAATTATTTAAATATAAAAATATTAAGACTAAAAAATATTTTTGATAATTTAAATATTTATTAGAATTTATAAATATTTATAGGATAAAAGAGTCTTAATAAATCTTGGAGATAATTATTTTAGTTGATATAGTATTTTTACTTATTTTTGAATATTAAGGATTAGTTATTGAAATCAATTTCCACATTAGCATTTTATCTACATGTATTTCTCATTAAAAAACCTATAAATTTTTATTAGTAATTAAAAAAAGTATAAAAAAGAATATTATGATTTTTAATTATTTATATTAAAAATATAATTTTTAGTTGCTTTAAATTAATTCTAATACTGTAAAAAATCACTAAGGCTAAAAATATGGCTTTAAATTGATATTAACATAATAAAAATATTATAGGATTTTTTAGAATTTATTTAGAATTTACTTAGAATATTTTAGGAGTTTATAAGAAAAATTTTAAGACTTTGATAAATTTAAATTTTTACCACCTTGGGAGATATTATGAGGAAATAGAACAAAATCTAAAGACCATTAAAGGTTTTAAGATTAATTGGAAGTTTTTGAATACCATAGTGAAGAAAAAATTATAAAAGTATTAGTTTTATTCATAGTAAATAGGATGACCAGCAGTTAGTCTAGTCTTTATAGGAAGGAAGGTATAGAAGTCCCATTTGGATTGTAGTACTTTGAATATACTTAAGAGAATAAGAGTAAGGGCTTGTGGCCTCTCTAAGATCCATATATACTAAAAGTGAGCCTTGGTAAGGTTCAAACCCTTGATCTATAAGTAAGTTATCCTTGAAATAAAATATTTTCACTTAATATTTTATTTATTTACTGATTATTTTTAAACTTTCATAGTAACTCGGATTTATATGTTTTTTATATCATTAGAAAGATAAGTTTTTTTTTTTTTTTTTTTTTTTTTCTTTAAATATATATTTTGTATTTTATATTTATTTTTTATTGGATAAAAAATTAGTAAAAAAATTATAGTCAAGTTTTTGTGTAATTATTTGATTTCATTTATTTCACTTATTTTATGTTTTTTTTCTCTTCTTCTTCTTATTATTTTTTTCTTTCATTCTACACCACTAATTATAAGAAATTTTTAATTGAAGCCATCTTGTAATTTGGATTGAAAGGTGAAATTTACCCTCATACTAATTAGATCTAAATCAAATTTTAAAACAAATCCTATTTAAATCTAAATAAAATCTCAATAAAATCTTAAATCTTAAAATAAATTTTATTCAAATTCTAATCAAATCTTACTTAAATCCTAAATTCTAAAATTAACCTTATTCAAATTTTAATCAAATCATAAAAAAATCCTACTTAGATCTTAATTTAATTTTAAAATAAATCTTATTTAAAATCTAATCAAATCCTAATCAAATCCTAATCAAATTTTAATTAAACTTTAAATATTAAATAAATTTTTAACCAATTATACAAAAACTTTAAGTTTTAATAACTAATAATCTAATTATTGATTTCAATCCAAAATTTGTAAACCTTTCAATTACTTAATGTGATAGATATACATATCTATTATAATAATTACACAAATAATATGAATAGATATAAGTAAATTAAAGTAGATAAACCTAATAATATCTTATAAAGAAGTTTTTTAGAAGCTTCATAGATGTGGTTTTGATTTTATATATGTTTGTAGTTAACTAATAGATTAGAAACTTGCCCAATAAATTAGCTACATGTTGCATGTATTGGTAGCTTGTGGTACAAGTTAAGTATGTGATATATATATATATATATATATATATATATATTTATAAATAAATATTTATGTATATATATATATATGTATATATTTATAAATAAATATTTATGTATATATATATATATATATATATATATATATATATATATAGTTTATGTGTATGTATATATATATATATATATATATATAAATAAATTCACAAGTCAAATTAGAGGAAGATAATTTGCAATCTTTAATACCAAATAAAAATTTTAACAAAGAATAATAGTCTCTTCTTTC